GATTTTTAAATTTGTAATTTTTTGGAGGTTTTCCCCATTTACGGGGAACAAGGAAAATTTTGTTAATTTTTGAGGGTAATGTCTTCGACTAGATACAATTTGTGATCTTTTGACGTATCATTGAAAGAAATCGGTTCGGTGAGAGCTGAGAAAAAGTGGTAACAGCACAAAAAAAAAAAATAATCACATCTTAGTAAAACCAATACCTTCTCAGCTTCGCATCAAAGCTAAAAAACAATTATTTATTTCAAATCTATTCAGCAATTTTCCTCTTATTATAAATTCTCAATTTCAAATTATTGTTCCGATCAATTAAAAATTTAACTATTTTTAGTTATTCGCATCGAAGCTAAATTAATGAATATAAATATAAAATTATAACACGAAAAATTGTGAGTTTTACACCAAAATAACATTTTTCATTTAATTTCAGGGAGTAGTAGTGTATAAATGTTTTTTTTTTAGAACAGCGTGATCGGAGTTTTAGCATAATTTTCATAATAGTTTTCCTTTACGTCATTGTTTCTAAACATCATTAATTCATTAGTGCTATATTAGTTCAGTTATATACTAGTGCATCTATATGACATTAGTTTACTTTTACATCACTACATCATCTGTTTTAGTAAATTTTTTTGTTACACGATTGGAAGCGATACTTCATATATTGAAGTGGTGTCATATAATATTTTAACCTGTTTATACCTGTTAGAAAGAGATTAATTTTTAATCGCCATTATGGGTCACGTTTCGAGAGCTGTTTTACTTGATCCTATGATTTGATTTTATCAGGCACCATATTGTTTTTTTTTATGAATGCAGGTGTATAATATACTGAACACCCTGTATATAAATACATATAAATTCATTCGCCATGCTTCGTAAAACTCAGGGCTATTAGCGATATATAATTTCATAAAATACAATTTTTGCAGTGCGGTTATATTTAATATTTATTAAATTAAACTAAGTGTTGGTATATTGTCGTTAACCTAAAATTTGTAGAATTATTAAATTTTAAAAATATTTGTTCATTCTTGTTTTAGCTTCGATGCGAAGCTGAGAAGGTATTGGTTTTACTATGATGTGTTTTTTTTTTTTTTTGTCTGTTATCACTTTTTCTCAGCTCTCACCGAACGGATTTCTTTCAACGATACGTCAAAAGATCAGAAATCGTATCTAGTCAAAGACATTACCCTTAAAAATTGAAAAAATTTCCCTCGTTCCCCATAAATGGGGGAAACCTCCAAAAAAATTACAAATTTAAAAATCGCTAATTTTAGAAATTTTTTCAATTTTTTTTACTTAAAAGTGCCATAACTTATTCAAAAATGAATATATCAATATAATTATTTTTTATATAGATGCATAATATTATTACCTTTCATTTAGTATATTTTTTTTATAAATTTAACCCTTAACCTGCCNTTAGTATATTTTTTTTATAAATTTAACTCTTAACCTGCCCACAGGGGGGGATTTAAAATAACAACTTTTTCACAAAAAATTAACTTTTTCAACATAACTTTTGAAAATGTTCCGGAAGGCCTGACACTTTTATATATATCTTAAATTAAAGCTTATGTAATATACTTTAATTTGAAAAAAAAAATTTGACCTCTAGACTTGTCTTCATGGTGAAAATGTGTATCGAATACTATTTTTGTGTGAAAATTCTCGATTTTATAATTTACATTTTTTACTTTTAAGTGCTATAACTTTTTGAAAAATATATGGATTAATACAATTATTTATGAGAAATAATATTTTATAATAATCTCTTTAATTCATTCAAGATCAAACATTCAGGATATTAATAAGGAACTAGCAAATCATGTAGCTTTTGGAATAATACACCAATTTTTTAAAATTAAATACTATCTAAAGATTTGCATCGAAGCGTTTTTTCTTGATAGTGATTTTAATCACTGTCAGATATCATTATACTTGATCCAACTATGCCAGGTCACCACTGTGCCGCGACCCCCCTGTGCTGGGTTTTTTTTTTATTTTTATTAGCAAAAATTATTTTTCATTACAACATAGCTTATATTTTCAAAATATGTTGTCATTATTTTAATAATGTTAAAAACTTATATAATCTGTAACGTGACAAAATGTGAACCTTTATATCTATTATTATTTCTTATGGTATAGATAAATTTAATGTTTCGCTCTCTCAATGGGCTCGCGTACGTTATATCCCGTCGTGTAATCAAAAAACAGAACTATTGCTGTCATGATGAACGCTATACATACAATATACTTGATCAAGTTAATAATCCTTCCGTATATGGTACATAAAGTGGTTTCTCACTACCCGTTTTTGAATGAGCGTTTTTAAAACGCGCGTTTAAGACGTTACGCTGCTTTGCTTACACATTAAGCTATTATAATGATGCGTTTGCGACGCGTGGGAAAAATATAGTAAAACATTGCAGAGACGTTTCTAACTTTTTTCATTTGACTAGTCAGTCATCATATTTGTTATTTTTTAAGTGAATGATTTAAAAAAATTTGACTTGATTTTGCAAGAAGCGGTTTATTTGGTGTACACTTTAAATAAAAACCACCAAGCTCGGAAAAAAGTGAAAAATATAAGCATCGTTGGTGGGTACATCCTATTAATTTAAAATGGTCAAAAGAGAAACAATTTCTAAAATGTTTTTAACATTACGGCATTACCCCGAAGGTTTTTTTAAATATTTCCGCATATCTATCAAGTTTATCCAATAAAAATAAAAAACAAGAAACCAAGAAAATAAAGGTATCAGAGAAACAATTTATAATAACTTTTCACTAAAAGAAGTTGACGACTTGAGGTGAGAAATCGAAAGATAGGCCGGTGTTCAAAATAGACGGACGACGGATCGCTTTTGGTATCACGAAGATGACTGACTAACGCATTAATGCAGCGGATATTCAACGCTAGGCATTTATTGGACTTTACACCACGACTATAACGTGTGTGTATAACGGTCCGGTTTACAATGGAGCGGAGGCTGAGAAAGAGCTGACATGACCGCGGGGTGTCAAACGGGTGATAACACCGTGGCCGCGTCAAAGACAACAATAATATGTTGCCCTTATTAAGTTCTATTGTATATATTAACGCGAATCCAATAGGTCCAGTTGGCACGAATCCACTAAATCACTTTGCACCACACAATATATATATTTATTTATTTATCGATATGTAGCAAACTTAATACCGCAATAGGCACACGAAAATATATATATATATATACATACGTATACGTCTCTAACGAGAGGTGGAAAAAAAAAGAAACGAAAGTCCAACAATAGGAAAAGATATACGCAACAACTATTCAAAGCTAACGTCGGAAACGGAACAGAAAGCATTATCAGTCATCCATATTCGGCGGCGGTCTTGTCACGGTGTCATACAGATAATAACAATTAATAAAAAAAAAATTGTTGAATTTATTGAACTTTAAATGTAAAATACCAAATATTATTTATATAATATTTTATTATTATTTTTCAAAAGGAAATTTAGTAATTGTTATCACTGTTTTCGTATGTTATTTGAATACATATATTTAAGTGAAAGGATTATATCCATGTACTAATTGTATGATGTACAAACATGTGTATCAAATTAAAAATTAAGTTTTTATAAATGGCAACCACGATGCCATTTATATAAACTATTTGCACGTAAAGATAAGTCATCGAGAAAATTTTTTTTAAACTTGATAAACTACATCTATCATACCTGTAAGCATTATAATTAATAAGACCAAGTTCACCACTCAATATAGAGTCAGTTAACCAGGTTTTAGTTAAAACCACAAATAAACAATTTAAGGAAGATACATTACAATTAAAATTATTCAGTTTACTTCGTAGACCACGGCAATTTTTATAGAATCCGTCAACAAAAAACTTATAAGATGAGTTATCTTAGAGTGGCGATAATTTGGATGCCGATACGTTATCCATTTTTTTGAACTAGATGAACTAACTACAGGCTTACTGTTATTATACACAATTTTCAAATCTTGTTTTCCATTAGAAGTTCTTCATGACATGCACGCAACAGTTGGGCATTGTAAAGGGTTTTTATCACGTATAATACGAAAATAACTCCAGCACGTTTATTTGAACTATATTCCATTATAAGTTGAACAGCTAAATTTTTCGTCTCAAAATATTATACTTATAAATCAAAGAATTACTAATCAGACTATAATGAAGGAAATAGGAGTTAATGTCACTTTTAAAATAGTTCAATAATTTCCTCTAAAAATTAAACACTATAGATTTGCATTGAAGTTGTTGTACGTAGGTAGTGCCCCAATGTAGACCCAAAAGTTTTACACAAATTTATTAATGTTTTTATATATATATTGACGACGAGTTCGTCGTTCAAGTTCTTCTCGAGTTTTCCCGTTGGATAAACTGATCAGCCCCAATCGCTCCAATTAGTGAACTACTAAAGAAGTAGAGTTTAGACCCGTCAGCATGGTCTAGGTCAAAAGTAGCAGACTGAAGGGTGGCTCCTTGTCGGACACCAGCACAACTACCTTTTACTATACCCACTAAAGGACGGTTAAGCCCAAAAACTAGCTAGCACGCACACTAATTATTAAGATTGACTAAAGGACCAGTAGTCCAACCTCGACTCTTGCCGCACACACACAATTTTTAATATCACGATGGATATAAAGTATTTACACTCAAGTACAGATTTTTAAATAATTATTTTATTTATATGAAATAAAAACACAAAATCAAATATAATATAATTCAATACTTCCTCAGCTATTTACTACAAAGTGTTTCTTATGATAGTTATTATAATCACTGTCAGATATCATCTATACTTGCCACACAATACCACGTCCTCACTGTCCTGGTTTATAAAATATATTTATACCGTGACCCCACTATGCTATCGTTTTTTTAAAATTCTAATTACAACGCTTAATGTTTAGATAACTTAGTTTATTAGAGCTAAAAATAACATTGAATTTTATAATAACACACACACACATATATATATATATGTATAATTGATTAATAAAATAATATCAACAAAATTACAACCACTTACATAATATTATGAATATTATATAAATAGAATGTAATCGATCATATATTTTGGCATTGAAATATTAAGTTCTGATAAGTCTTCATTATTTTGGATATCTGTTTGTTTTTCGTTATCGACAGTATCTTGATTTACCGTATTAATTCTAGATGTTTCATCATTAATAGATTCAGTAGTCTCCATGTTATATATTTCATTGTATATATTCGGGCTGCATAACCGATCTATAAAATAATATTTGATAATAATTTGCACGACTCAATATAAAAAAATAAATAAATAAAGACATCATTGTAAAATTAATAACTTTTCAGTTTCGCAACGACGCTAAAAATATTCTACTCAACTATGATTATAACACAGGTTAATAGACATTTGCTTTAAATCTATGGAATTTTGTTACTTATTTAACATTTTGGCTTTAGAATAGTTTAGGCAGACTTAGCCCAAAATGATAAAGATAGAGGCTATGGAGATGACGACTTCAGTACTGTATTAAATAGTTAATAACCAATATTACTAAATATTAATTTATCTTTAAAAAAATAAAACTGATGTTACTTATTAAGGTTTTTAGTTATATATTTTAACTTTCAACTTTATATCTCGTAAGTTAGCAGCTTTGGAAAAAACTTTTATAAAATGACTGCATATACAAAAATACCATAATGTATTTAATATTAAAAAATATCTTTAGAATATTAATTTTAAGCTAAAAATAATTTAATATAAAAAATATTTAACTCATAAATTATTAATATGACGATGATAATCATTGTGCTTAAAATACGCGATTTTTAAATAATTTTTATGGCTTTAAATAGTTTTATATAAATTTATAGTTATGATAAAATTAAAAATACATATTTTGCACATTTCTATTTCGACTATATAATTAACAAGACTAGTTTTAAAAAGTGTACTAGATGAAAATATGTACATTAAGGGATTAGAATTCGCGACCCGAGGTGTCGTAGATATACCTTACTATTAGAGCACCGTTAATTTATGATTCACAACCCGATACATATTCAAAATAATAACGAAAATTGTGAATAAAAAAATAGTAACTTATTAACGTTAATGTAGATTTATATTTTTTATGTTTATGTATAATGAAAATTAATCAATATAATAATTGTAATTTAAAAATATATAAGAAATGCTTGACAAAATTATAGCTTTTTATATAGTCATTAATTTTTTTAGTTAAAAATAAAAATATATAACAATTTTTGTATTTTTGGCAATGTAATTTTAATCATAACTACCTAGAAATATTTGAGTTTAACTTTAAAAGCTATTATCCAAATAATATTTTAAAAAATTTTAACTTACTTAACATAGTTAAATAGGGTTTGAAAATTTCATAACTGCTCTTTAAAAAATAAAAGGAAGATATGTTTCGTGTTTTATTCACTGCATGAAGAGATTCTTTGTATTTGTCCAGTTCGATTAAGTATGTTGACATTTCATTAACACGTTGGGAAAATATGTTATAGAGTTGAACAATATTATTAAAATGAGTAATTTTATAATCCATTATTATACCACAATAACTATTTAATTTATTATTAGAAAAAAAGGTATTGGTAGATAACATTATGTAGTCTAATGTATGATAAGACTGAGATATATCTTTACCAACAATATTACGAATATCATTACAAATATTATTTAAATAAGTTTTCGGTAGTTTTTGAATTATAAATTGTTTATTGAAATATTCAATTTGTTTAATTATTGCTGTACCAATTTCTGTGAGGCTAATACGGATTTGATCTAGATTATTTTTATTTTTATTATACCATGAAGATTTGTAAAAATCATCAAATGTTTTTAAAAATGATATATACATACGGACAACTAATAAAATAGGCCGAATAGTTGAAGCCAGCACTAGCTGTTGATATCCTTGTAATTGTTTTGTATTAAAATTGTATTTCATGTAACGAAACACGTCAAAAAGTGTCAAATAAGAATCATCGGGACACTTATATTGAAGTTGTGCAAATTTAAAATAGTCTATAACATTAACGACGCGACAATCTTTTACTTCTGGTATTTTTCTATATTGTGCACAAGACAAGAGATTTCGTTCATCAAATTTTTGCTGCCCCATCATTATATCGTAGTATAACAATTTTTTGGGATGGAAGTCCCATCGAGAATCATTTTTCATTGCTAATTCCAATATTCTAAATACTTCACTGTGTTTTAATTTTACTCTGTCTTCNAAATACTTCACTGTGTTTTAATTTTAATCTGTCATCTTTGAGTTGCAAATCAGTAATAGAAAACCTGTTTTTTAGTTTTTCTACAATATCAGGGAGAAATTTAATTCTATAATCTTTTTCCTTATTGAAATCTGGGCAATTCGTAAATATTTCCTCAAAAGATACATCAGAACATGTATTGTACAAAAAATTTTCCAAACGTTTTACTATAGCTTTATGTATCATCAAAAATCCTTTTAGTAAATTTAATATTCTATTCGAATCATCAAATTTACCATATTTATTTTTAAAGTTCATCTCTACAGATCCTGAAACGTTATTCAAGTATAAATTTACATTCATTAGAGATGATGTATAATTTGCCAGATTTTCTGATCTTAAAGCTTCTAACATCGCAATTACAATTTCACCATGAGATTGTATTGCTCGTCCATATATTTGTAAATCACTAATCAAAATATTTGTTTTTTCCTCTTCTAATTTTAGCAAGTATTTTTCATTATGTTTAAAATAATTCAAAATGTACTTGGAGAAATTACAATTTAATTCCATGTATTCTAATGCTGTAGAATAATTAAACCAAAGAACAAAAATATAAAATATTTTACATACAACCATTTTAATAAGATACACAAAAAACCAATATATGCTTGGAAAATTACACCTTTAGTATATATGATTGCAAGCATTCGTATTTATGGCAATATTTTTAAAACTTGAATTTGGAATATGCCATAAATATTAATTTAGCAAACACATTTGTATAAATAAATAAATCCACCTAACACCGTTTCAATATCAGAACTTTAATTGACGCCGTAAGACTTAAATTAGACGTAAATAATTAAAAATAAAAAATGAAATAAAAATTATAACAAAAATTTCTGATTTTTACAGGAAAATAATATTATTCGTTATACTTCAGGAGATGATTACATATAGAAGAAAAGTTGTCGTTTTTTTTTTATGTGTTATGTTGATAGGTTAGCTTTTGATACATAAATTTTCATTTTAAAAACATGTTATTTTCGTGTTAAAATATTTTATATTATTATTTCATTTATTATATTTTATATCTTAGAATCAATTTAACTTTTTATATGTGTTCATGCATTAATGTACAAAATGTATATGTAAATAATCTTTGTTATCGTAAAATTCTCTCGCGTCTCTCATTGTAAAATTTTCCCTTTCCTTCTCGTGTATTTGTCATCTCTTATTGTAAATAGTTAATTTTAAGTGTTTGTGTTTTTCTGTTTATCGTTTTATCGACAACTATTGCTTTTATAATTATTATGTGTATGATAAATTGTTTTGTCATTACTATACTTTTCTTTCGTTGATATTCGGCAACTGAAGCCAGCTGGTTCTTTTTTTTTGATTGTGCAAAATAAATTTACTTTTATTTGTAAATGCAATTTAATTATTGTAATAATATTACTTTTTTTAATCAAAACCAAAAGTATTACATTCTTATTAATGAACAGAAAAGTGTTGATCTTTTCGCGAAATAATCGCCTTCATCCGATAGGTAATTATCCACATTAATGTATAAAATTAATAGTTATTTGTCAAATTAATTAAACGTAAGTTTAAAGTATAAACAATATGAATATATTGATTTTTTTTATAAGTACCTTATACATATTTCTTTTATTTCATCCATTTTTATTTATATACATATTTGTTCAATTGTTGTTAAAATAAATTATTATAGTCTTATTGATTTTTGGCAATTATTATTTTTGAAAAATACTCATTATCTTATTTTAGACAAAATTTAATCTAAAATAACCTAAATAGACCATAAGTCACAATATTTAATTGTAATTTTTCAACTTTAAATTTTTTTAATTATGGCATTAAATAAAGTATTCAACTGGTTATTAACAAAAAATCAATTTTTAGATATTTGGATGAGCACCCATTCAAATCCAACTATTAATAAAGCATGGCAAGACAAATGGTCAAATTTTTCTTTAGCTAACTGGCATAAATCTATAGTTCCAACTATCCCTAAACGTCTTTGGTTTTACAACCTCCCTCTGTCCCGTTTCCATATTACCTCTTTTTCCCGTCTTAGATTTGGTCATAATCGGTTACCTAGTCATGCCTTTAACAGGTCACTAAACCATTTCCCCTTCTGCCCTAAACAAAATGATGAAGTCCCCTGTAACTTTCCTCATTTACTATTTGATTGCCCAGCTTTACAACATAACCGTTTACTCTTGTTCAATTTCCTGTTCTCCCTTAATATTTCACCCATTAATAGTTTTAATATCCTTAATACAAAATCCTCCTCAATAATTATACATATAATTTCCTTCGTTCATTCAGCTGGCTTCGTTATATAATATTTTTCTGTATGTTAATTTAATATCCTAGGTCTACTTTGTTTTGTTCTTTCTTTTTTAGTATTTTGAGTATGTTTAATTTATTAATTTAACGATATATTTAATTGTGTTTAATAACAATATTTTTTTTTCTTTTGTATAGTCTTAGTTTTTATTGTATATTCTTAGTTTCTATTGTATAGTTTTATTTTAATCGTTTAGCTATAATAATACTTCTGTATTGAAAGCTAATAACAGAAAAAAAAAAAATCATCATTCCATATACTTAGAACTTGTATCAACTTCAGATTTTCAAATGGTAATTCCATATTATTTTTATATATTTTTGTTCATAATAAAAAAACATGTTTAGCAAAAAAAAAAAAATTATGAATTTGAAATAAGATACGCTACTTTAAAATTTACGATATTTGATGAAATAATTCAGTAGTTTTTCCTACACGGTTAAATTATTATTTTATGTAGAAATAAGAGTTCACGGTTTACTATATCAACGTATTTAGCCAGAATAGCTTCGTAGAATTCTGGGTTATTAGTGATGTATAATTTCATAAAATACAATTTTTACNAAATTATTATTTTATGAAGCAATAAGAGTTAACGGTTTACTAAATCAACGCACTTAGTCAGAATAGCGCTTATCGATTTACGACCTGTAACGTTTGAGTTAGTTATAATTTTTTCTTAATAAACCCTAAACTCTCTAAAGTTTAGGGTTTATAGCTTACATTTAGGGCCGCAGAGCACTTAATATTAAATAAAATAAAATATTTTTTTTTTACAAAATATATATATATTTTTTTTTATTAAACTTTAACAGTTATAAAAATGAATGTTGAAGGAAGAAGAGGAATGTTAAAGGAAGACCAAAACAGAGATGAAAAGATGTTATTGAATGCGATTTATGGACAGCTGAAGGGAACGTAGAGGATATGGGAAATCGTGTCAAGTGAAAGTAAAGGATAAAGATGGTCGACTCTAAGTAGTTGGCATTAAGGCGAGGAAGAAGAAGAAGAAGATTTTTTTATCAAACTAAATCTAATTGTGAAAAAAAAAATAAAGTTGCCAAACCATTTATTCATAATTAACAACAAATTATTTTCTAAAACGTTTTGTGTCAAACCCTTCAATTTTTCTACACGTTTACCATTAATGTAATAACTACTTTATAATTTATTATAAATTCTCCGAAAAAATTACGATACTAAATTATTAAATATCAATCTCATACTAATATAATTGCTATAATAAATATTTATTCATATATTATACTTCTAAATGAAAAAACTATTAATCAGAAATAATAAAAGAAATAGAAATTAATTTTACTTTTGTTATAATCCATCAAATTCTTAACTATCTTCAGATTTGCATCCAATCGCTTCTTATAATAGTGATTTTAATCACTGTCAGTTATCATTCTTACTTGTCTCAACTATGCTACGTCCACATTGTGACACAACCTCACTCTACTACCATTTTTTTAATTAAAACTTTAAATAAAGTATATAATTGATAATTATCAGTTGATTATAATTTAAAAAAAACAATATTCGTAAACTAACTAGTAATAAATTTAATAATTCATTTATCATTGTGATTTCTAAGTTTTATTTTAAATTTAAGCTTAATAAATTATCAACATACTTTTTGGTAAAATATGATTTTGTAACAAATTATAGAAAACCTTTTGTAACTCCTACGTTTTTTACCCTGATACAAATGGTATCATAAAAATCCTCTATTATATTAATGTAACTTTTCGGGGCTCCTTTTCTCTTCAATGCCCACTTTAAAACCTCTTTCGGAACTGTATCATACGCTTTCTCCAAATATATAAATTCCATATAAAACTTTTTTTTTTTCTTAAAATTTTCTATTAGTTGCCTCACACAAAATAACGGCACTATTAATGGCTTACCAAGTATAAATCCAAACTGGTTTTTGCTGAGAGACTACTCAATTAATATAATATAAAATCTACTTAATTAATAGTATTATAAAAATTGATTACAATTGGACCTTTTTCTTCTTTTTCCTCGCCTTTATCCAAACTACTTAGGGTCGGGCACCCTTATCATAAACTTCCACTTGACACGATCACCAACATCATCTATGCTCCATCAGCCGTCCTCATATCGCATTTAATTGATTATAATCGGATAAATCCCACATATACCCCTAATCAGAAAATAATTGAGGTGATAAAAGTTGATGTTATTTTTGTAATAATACACCAATTTTTAAAATTAAACGCTAGAAATTTACATAGAACTGTTTTATATGATAGTGATTTTAATCACTGTCAGATATAATTTATATCTGTCCCAACTATGCCATGTTTATCGTGAGCCCGCTGTGCTTTCGTTTTTTTTAAATTCTAAGTACAACGATTAATATTTACACAACTTAGTTTATTGGAGCTAAAAGTAACATTGAATTTTATTATAACATAAAATTTCGTAAATATATATATAATTGATTAATAAAAATAAAAGCAACAAAATTACAATCACTTACATATGAATATTATATAAATAGAATGTAATCGATCATATATTTTGGCAGTGGAATATTAAGTTCTGATGAGTCTTCAATATTTTGGTTATCTGTTTGTTTTTCGTCATCTATATTATCAG